CATTTGTTGTCTGTTTGACAGGAATGTTTCTATCCAGTAATGCAGGTATCCAGAGGTACCATAAGATATTAGTTTTAGGAGTAGTACCACTGAATCAAAGGCTTTACAGAAGTCTATGTAGATTGTGTCTATTGTTTTGCCCTGATCGAGTTGTGTAGTCCTTATGTTTTTGCAGTGTAAGAGTGGCAGATTACAGGATAGTTTTTTCCTGAAACCAAATTGTTTATTAGAGAATAGGTTGTTTGTCTCTAACTGGAGGATAATGGATTGGTTAATAATTGATTCCATAACTTCACAGATGCAGCATAAAGAGTTTGGTCTGTAATTTTCAAGTAGGCTGGGGTCTCACTTTTTGAAGATGGGGATGACCGTAGGTTTGGCAAGGAGCTGGTCCTGAAAGATTTTTCAAAGATTATGTTTAGAGGTTCGGCTATGGCAGTGGATAGCTTTTTTAAGAAGTAGGCACATATTCTGTCTGGTCCAATAGATAGAGATGGATTTTGATTACGAAGTGCTTTTTCAACATTGACTTCTGTAAAATCAATATGTATTAGATCATTGTAGTTATCTGTGATTCAACTAGGAAATACTGGGCATGATCCATTGCTGCTTACAAATACTGAGCCAAAGAATGTGTTAAAGATGTTGGCTTTAATGGTGTCATCGTTGCAGTCTTTACCATTTGGTCCTTTCAGGGGTGGGATGGACCTTGAGACTTTTAGTTTGTTGTTTACAAAATTGTAGAATGTGCGGGTGGAATTGGTGTTTAGAAGGTTTTCCTCTTGTTTTTCCTGTATAAAAGACTCCTTTTAATGAGTGAATTTTATTTTAAATTGAAATTAAAAGTTCATTTTTTTCTTTTCTTTTAGGTTTATTGATAAAAAATTGAAAACTTGATGTTATATAAATGGCCACACCAAAAATCTTTTATGCACAAAAATGGAAGGGTACTTTGATTCTCACAATGGACAAATGGCTACAAAAATGGATGGGATCAGCAGAGATAGTTAAATTGTCTGCTTTTGATCAGAGAATGAAACATTATTTTGTTTCTATTTGGAAACTGCTTTTGAACTTTGTGCTTGAGATAGATTTGGGGGTTTGCTGATTAAATAAGTTTGTTGTTATGGAAAGGGCTAGCATATATTACTATATAAAAGTAAAAAGTTTTCTGTCATTATCTTATTCTACTACACCAAAGTAAATGTAAGTTAATGCTTTTCTTTTTCTTTTCCCTTTTACCCTACACTTTCTAGTTTCCTCTTTTTCTCCATTTTTTTCCCATTCTAATTTTCTTTGTACTTCTATATTTCATATTTTGGTAAACTAATAAAATATTAAAAGTAAAAAAAAAAAAAGTTCAAAGATTGAAGTCACTGTTTTTGCTGTAAACAGACATTACCAAAAAGTCTGTTACAATATCCCTTTTTAGGTATCATTTCCATCCTGCATAAGTAAGGCAGCTGCTGAACAGACAGCAGGAGGCAGACATCTTCTATCAGGGAACAAGAAAATTCTGTAACTATTGGTTTCTTACATGCACCTGTAGATGCCACTCCAAGGAATTATGACTGTTTTATCTACCTAATGAGAAAGTAGACTCTAAGTTACTTACCAAAGTTGTCAACTTAATTATTGGCTATTATCCATTTTCTGCTGCTTCAGAGGCTTGATTGAAATATGTGCTGCAGACTGGATATGCTGTCTCTTCTTTTTCCCTAGTCTTAAATCCCAAATTAAGATGAAATTATGAAATTATGTCTGGTTGCCCCAGCATAACCACTTAAAAAAAAAAGTCAGCTACTATATGGTACCTTCCACAAATTTAGAAAGGACTATAATTCTAGTTTTAGTTTATAATTCTTGAGTTTTAATTAATAAGAATGATGTGTTTTAGCATTTCTTTTTTATGTATCACTCCTTTTTATTTATTATTGAATGTTCTGGACATTCAAACACTATTTTCTCCCCTTTTTTCTTTTTGCTAGTTAATGACTACAATAAAGTTGACTGATTTCAAATTATAGCTGGAGAAGATAGATGGCCTCTTAGGTTAATTTAAAATTTAATCTAATTTAAAAATTAGAAATGGAGACTAAAAATATCAAAGTAAAAGTGAAAAATGAAGAGCATAAACTCACCCGTCACCATCTTGAGCTCCATCCCCCAATTAGATTCTGAAGCTAAATTCTCTAACCTCTGACCTCCAATCTCAATCCCTTTTAGCCCCTTCATTTGCTAAATTTACTGCATTCCTGGAAAAGAGGGACAAAATCTGTAAGTTACTTACTTCGTTAAGTGTTTGCCAGGCTGAGTAATAGAGAAAAAGAAGGAAGGAAGCAAAGAAAAGCTTCCTGCAGCTTTCTGAAGAAAAAGTTCACTTAAAAGAAAAAAGTGGTTAGAGAGCACAACATATGCAGCAAATGGCTGCAGCAGAAACTGGATGCTACAGAGTCAGATTTTCCAAAGGTTTCCAAACAGCAAACATTACATCTTAAAACAAACATTTGTCTTCTCATAATTACTTCATCGCAGTATATTGAGCCATCTTTTGGAGCAGCAATACACTTCCAGAAGGGATATGTAGAGTGTAGAGATACTTCTTGGGTTCACTAGTTAAGAAACAAATGAGAGCCAATTTGATACAGTCCTCTATTCTTCTAATATTCCACTAATATTATGTTGTTGCTGACTTCTATCAAACCATTAACATTTTCCCACATTGTGTTAGTCTAATTTCTTGATTCTTCTTTTTCTGTCTCTTCCTTCTTTCCTTCCACATTTCATCAGCAACAGTTTTATTTTAAAAAATAACAATCCTTTTCTTTTCCTCCCTCTATTCCAAGCCCCGCCTACTTTTCTCAGTTTACATTCCAAGTCAGGTATAATAGTTCATGCCTATGCTTCTCTCATTTCTTTCACCTTTTCTGAATTGCTTGCAAATGGAAGGCAGTCATACAGGTAAAAAGGAGAAGAATGAAGACCATGGTGCCAGGAATAATTCCTTTACAACGTCATGTTTCTCTAATACAGCTTCTTTGCATACTCTCATCATTAGTGCTTCTCCCTTATTCTCCGATCACTGGTAAGTAATGCGAATAGAGAAGAGACAAATAAGTCAAATCTGAAGCAAACTAGTATTTCCTTTCTCCTTCATCACAAAACTTCTCCATAATATTCGAAGGGGGCATCTATTTATCTTAAGGTGGCATACAGAAAACTCAG